AGAGTCTGTCATCAAGTTGAGCAAATCTCCACATGCAAGGAGAGAGAAGTACTTTAGTCTTCAAGAAAGGAAAGTGCAAAAAATGGAGTTGGAAAAGGAGCAAAATTTTCCACACTAAACAGGAGCTGCAGTCTTCTGAATCAATTAACGGGCAGGCAGGATTTGGGAGAAACAATATCATTTTGAACACTAATATTTGGGAGGACATGATGCCCAAATTTGAAAAATAAAAGAGTAGACCACAGGGTGCTTTAGTGGCATATCATAGTAGGAAAGAAAAATAATGGGATCAAGAAAATAAACCATGTTACCAAATTGTTTTGGGTAAACACGTTGTTTGTATTGTCCCGGGTGTGGAAATTCTTTAAGTTAAAAAAGAAACTATGAATTACTATTCCCAAAACCAAGAGAGATTTCTCTCTTTCTTGAACAAAAGTTCACCATGAAGTTACTTCACCTGGGTTTGTTCCAGCAAACAAGCCATACCAAAGATCATCAGTTATAAATGATGTTGCTCTCTCTACTGCTCCCAAATACACTCCTGGCCCAAGGCTTGGCGGCAAGGGATGAAACATTTTCTGGCTTGGATAATCCAAGTCCACCGCTACATGCCGATTTGTGAGAAAACCAACCGGCTGGTTTCCTGTCCGGCTTTTAACAATAGCACCCAAAGTTCCATATGTCTCTTGACTCGCCACCTAAAAGACATAACCGTGTTAACCAAGCTAACAGCTCCTTATAGCGGTTTAGTTTAGGGAATATTCGTTTCGAATCTCAAAGAATTGGGAATATTCAGTAGCAGAAAAAATAATTCTAAGGAAAAATGGAAAAGGTTTGCAGTTGAAAGAAAATCTCAAAAAGATAAAAAGTTCCACTTCCCCCCTTTCAAAAAAAGTAATTGAGAACACATAGTCGCCACCCCAACCACTCAGCCAAGCTTATCTGCTTGTCCGAGAAAATAATAAAAAGTTGAACAGGACATTTTATTAAATTACAAGTCATTCAAGGTTTGCAACTATCAAATTACATTTTGAAAATTTTCAATGGGAAATCAACCGAACCTAGAAATGGGAATTATTCCCCTTAACTAGATACAGCCTTACATTTCCAAGATCTTGATAGTGCCACTATTTTCCTTATACTCATTCTAATGGAGAGTTCCATGATCAGTTACTCCTTCATCTCCTACTTCTATAGTAGTGCACTGCAAATCTAAGTAGCACCAGAACGGAAACGGAAATGGAAGCGGGGACGGGGAAACTCTAATCTCAACAAATCAAGATACAGGATTACATGTACGGCACGGAAACGGCGCACTAAAAATTATGATGTTACTAATAAAAATAAATAACCATTAAATGTGGTCATGTTTATGTGCATGAAAATGAGAAATAAATAAACCAAACATCGGTATTGCTTGTAATCCATCCTACATGCATAATAGATAAAATGACAAATAGTTTGTTAACCACAATTTATTGTATACTATGTAGCTAGTTTTACAAAGAGACAATGAGACATATTATAATAGTTTGTTAAATGGTTCATCTGTTATTTTGGTTTACCTTGGTCTCAGGATATTTTTTGCCCTAAACCCAAAAAAGAGATACAAGTATAAAAACCAAAAACAAGAAGCATCATAAAAGTATAGAACAATAATATTTTACTGCAAAAACTATAACTGCATTTTTATTTCTGAAATTGATGTCTCGTTCTTGAAATATATGCCCTCCAAATACCATGTTCTCTTTCTCCAAATGAGAGATAAAACAAGGCAGCCTTTGTGTTTAATTCATACCAAGCTTTTAGAAACCATCCACGCTCCACTCTGACATTTTTTCTTGAATGAACAAAAGTATATTGCATGGTAATCCCTAGAGGGTGTTTATCATCAAGGTTATGATTTCAAACTGGTACTAAAGTTGGAGATCATAAACAAGCCACAAGCATTATTGTCTGCCAGTCTACCCTAACAACACATCAGTAGATATTAAAAGAGTTACAGCATTAAAAAATCGAAACTAATGACAAGCAATCACCTGAGATCCAGATCCGATGCACGGATCACTACCACGCAGCCCTTCCACGAGTTCATTGTACAGTTCCTCTTTTGGGGTTGCTGCAGGTGCTCCGTAATAAGAGAACTCAACAACATCTACATCGCACCATATGCCTCCTGGTCCCTAATCAATTAAGTATTAAATATATTCAACTGTCATGAAATTATAGAATACTGGAGAAACTGGATAACATTCAAAATTTTAAAGACATACATCATCCAGATGAATGTTATATTAATAATAGTAACCCAAAAGCCAGCCCTTCATAAGAAAAATGGATTTTTTAAAATCACATAATCATGAGTTCAGGAAGCGAAATTATCAACAAAGAAAACAGAAATGTGTGTTTTAAGACCTCAAGGTAGGCCGGGAGACATTCAACGCAGCTGAGACACTGCCTGTTAACTTTTCTGGCTACAAAGACAAGGATAGCCGGTGTATCTGTCAAAACACCGCGCCTTATGCGAAATCCTATTGCTGTTCCCAGACTAAACCGGCGAAGAATTTTGCTATGAAATGCTCTAACGGTCATAAGATCAAGCAAAGTTTTAGCTTGCTGCCCCAACGGAAGCCGTCCAAGGGTTTCAGGCAAAACCCTCTTCTGAAGGTGTCTAAAGTAATTAGCCCGTTCCACAGCATCTAACCGGCTAGGCCATGAAAAGTAAGCCGCGCTACTCTCAGAGATCTGATTACTTGATGCAATAGTTTGTAATGGTGGAGGGCTTGTTGAAGGAAGATTGATATGATCGGAACCATTTCTTTCTAAATCCAGTGCAGATTCCTCTGATTGTGCGGATCCAGACTGATTCAGCCTCAAATCCAGCCGTGCCTTGTTCATCTTGCAGTTTTCCAGCCCAGACCACAGTCGTAGTCAAAATCTGTCCAGTTTATCAGCGAGCTAAATGATTGCAACGAACGTTTCCAGTTTTTAGTCAGGAAAATGAAATAGGAGGGGGCCAAAAGAAAAAAGAAATTATTAGACATTTTAAAATTCTCGTTTAAAATTGTTATTTCACAAACATTTTATGTAAAACTCTTATCTAAAATGTTTCTGATACAAATAATTTTTTATTTTTTTAAGTGTGAAAATCAATTTTCTTCATAAGACGTCGATCAAATTTGATCTGTAATCCAGCGTGTAAAAAATGACGTGTGCAAAGAGATTTTTCCAATTTCCTACGGGCGAACTCACAGACTCATAGATTCAAAGTAGTTTTACACTTTTACTTTTGAAAATAAAAACTAAAAAGCTTGTTTTATATACGCGACATTCACTAGCCCATTTTGTTGCTTTCACAATTTTTTTATTTTAATAAGTTAGATTGATTCACACAATTGTTTCTCTGTCATATACAATTTTTACGAAAAGTGTAAATAACGTGTATGACTTCGGTGTGCCCAAGAAGCATTTTGTTTAAAACTTTTACTGCTCTATTGATTGAAGTTACTGTAGAAGACTATTGATGGATAATCGCTACCTGTATGAAATGGAGAAGTTGAGGAGATAATGTGTACAATGAATGAATAGTTGTATTAGGAGGAAAGAGTCAATTAAGTACATCAACTTGTATGAGGTGAAGTAAATAGTATACTGTATTGCATTTAATCTTTTTAATTACACAAATTCGGGGTTTTAGAGTTAATTGAGTACACTTGTTAGATTAACACGTTAATATAGCCGAGTTGGCTAACGGAATGCTGAGTAAGGAGTAATGGACCAAGGTTATGGCGCCGACCTTCACGAAGTCGACCAAAAAGGGAAAATTGACATTCAGAGGTCGACCTGCACGGGGCATTGGCTAGCAAGGGTGCATCGACGAAGGAGAAGTCGACTTGCGGGGGACTGAAGTGGGTCAAGGGGAAGTCGATCAAGTGGCTAGGGCTGGTGTCGACCTTCAAGAAGTCAACCTATTAGCATTCTGTTAGCCACCGGACGTATTAACGTGTAAATCTAACGGGTGTACTCAATTAACACTAAAAACCCAAATTTGTGTACTTAGAAAGATCAAATGTAATATAATGTACTTTTTACTCATACAAGTTGATGTACTCGATTGACCCTTACCTCGTTTTATTAGGGTGTACAATGCCTCCAATAAAGAGTATATATAGAGAAAGTAGCAGGTTGGGCCGTCAATATGGGTCCGATAGGCCCAACTACATAATTTGGATATATACATAGTTTGGTCTGCTCGTAACTCTAAATCTATCCAGTCTTATAAGTTATACCTTGTTGTGAACTGTGTGTTTATATATACAATTGCTTCTTTGAGGGGCTGCCTAGAGATGAAGATCTTGACAACCAACGAAGGTTCTAGTTGACGGGAATGACGGGAGCTCTGTCGAGGTTTCACCTGGCCGCAGAGCAAACCCTTTTCAGAACTATTTGGACTGTGGCGTTGCCCACTCCGGTATTAGTTGCCGCATATTATTATTTGGCTGGCAAAAATTAGGTGATGAATTGGGGGCAGATTTGGAGAGGCTTTGGCAAATCACCGGCATTAGAAGAACATGATTGTGAGCACCGAGTTGAAGCTGCAACTGGTGGTGAATTTCGACAGACGACAACGCCCGTTTCTCGTAGAAGGCTGGGAGTACGGTATGTTGCCACCGGGTTCCATTCTCGAGCCGGGTTGCGGTCGCATTTGAGCACTTCTTGAGTTCTTGAAGAAGAAGACGCTGACGAAAAAAGTCAAATTACAAAAAAAAAATGAATTTAGGTTTTATAAATATAGATAAAATTAAACGAGAAAGCCATGTAGACAATCACATTTGGAAGTTAACCGGCCACTTATTGGTTACCTACTAAAAAGTTCAATTGAGTTTTTTTAATAGTTTGAGGGTTTAATTGGTCGATTGTGAAGTACAAGGACCAAATTGACTATTCAAATATAGTAGGAAGACTTATTCGATAGTTTTCCCTTGTTATTATAAATGATACTGCTAATAAGTATATAAGATCAATCAACTTGAAACAAATTGAAAGTGTGGGATCTTTGTTTTCTTTTGGTACAGGAAGTTGTTTTGTTTTGGTACAGGAAGAAGAGATCATACAAACATATCCCCGCAAAAATGCGGGAAATCTTTTATTGCAAGGAATAAGAGAGAACCACGGAAACATTATAGCCTTATAGGCATCACCAAATAACTGTACTTAAAGGGAGCATGCTAGAAAGCTTTACAGGAAACATATAAGAGAAATCACATATGAACAAGAGTATGTAGTGCAAGATGTATGTGTGATACTGTGATGCTGTTAAGCCAACTTTTCCCTGTCATGGGGAGTAGCATAGTCAATATTTGGACCCTGCGGGACGATTCCAAATGGATTGATAGAGGGATGACTTCCATAGTAATGCTTCTTAATGTGTTCCATGTTTACTGTACTGCTCATCCCCGGGATTTGGAAGATGTCTTTAGTGTAATTGAAGAGATTCGGGTACTCACGTAGCAACTTCTTGTTACACTTGAAGTGAACTGCATATACCTGCAGAAATCAAGATCGCGTCAGCGTGCGAGAAAAAAATGGAAAAAAGGTTTTGGTTTTAAAAAGGGGAAAAATAATTAAAATACCCCAAACTTTGAAGGGGTGTGAGATGAGCACCCCAAACTTGCATATGTAATTTAAATACCCCAAACTTTGTATAGAAGTTATTTTAGCACCGTAGTCAAGTATTGTTTTTCAAATAATGTAAATTATGGTGTTAATTACATAATTTAAAATACTTTAGAATTCATGAAGACACAATCAACATTTTAAACTTCCATTGCGAAATAAATAATGTTACCCGCAATCTATATAATTGCAACACTTTTAATTTGCTATTTTAATTTATGCAATTAACCTCATAACTTTACATTTTTGAAAGAAATAATACATGACCATGGTGCAAAAATAACTTTTTATATAAAGTTTGGGGTATTTAAATTACATATGCATGTTTGGGGTGCTCATCTCACACTCCTTCAAAGTTTGGGGTATTTTTATTATTTTCCCCTTTAAAAAGATATGACCTACTATATGAGGGCATTTTGGGAAATAATGAAAAAACTTAATTCCTAGAGTTTCCGAGAGTAATTCACACATCCAAACCGGCCCAAACATATTTCTACTTCTCATACTAATGATGATATCCCCCCTCCTCCATCTCAAAGGCAAATGTTAGATACACTCAAATACAATTTTCTTTTTCATATTCTTCTAAATGCTAATTCCTATCACCCTGCTCGCTGAACCAAACATAATATTTTTTTCCTAGGTAAAACTCAACAATGGTTTCCAACTAGTAATTAATGCTTCTCAAATATGGACATCACAGACGCTCTTTTCAATATACTAACTACAGATTTTCGTGTAACTAAATCTAAGATGACAAGATCCATGTTGGCTAAGCATAGTACAAAAAAATGGCTACCTCGTCAAACCGAATAAGGGTGACGAACAAGCGGATATCAGCTTCTGTCACTTGATTTCCGCACAGATATCGCTGATGGCTGAGAATATCCTCACATTTATCTAGAGCTTCATACAGCTTTTGAACTGCCTGCAATTAACATTAGAAATAAAAAGTAGTCTTGTCAAGAACAAAGGAGTTCCCAGGGAATTGGGGTGCTATAAATGTTGGGAATGAAAAAGTTGGGAATTGGTGTGCTGTAAATGTTAGGAATTAGAGAACTCCCCAGAATCCGCAATTCCTGAAATACCAGGAATAGCAAATTCTCTGTGGACCATATGGGTTTTGCTCAAATCCCAAAAATTGGGTAAATTATAGTCATTCCAAACATTACTTTATCTGATTTCAGTCATTTAACTCGAACCACCAAATAATTCTAAATGAGGTTTAAATCACAAAAAATTAACAAAACAACGCATTACTGTATATCTATTTTTTTGTATGAAAGGTAAATATATATTAAAACCCAAAAATAACATTTACAATGTGTACAAAAATATAAAGGGTGACTTATTGGGTTGGCAAGGATGAGCAGAAGTGAAAAGAAATGAGAATTACTACCTCGTCATAAGGCTCTTGCTTCCTAGCAAACCCACATTTGTAAACTCCATTGTTTATCCCGTCATATATCCACTCATTTATGCTGTTGATTTGGGACTGTAGATGAGGAGGGTAAAGATCCAGCGCTGAATTTTCTGCTATGCCATTGAATTCAGTATTAAACATGCGGATTATATCCGAGCTCTCATTATTCACAATGGTTTTCAGTTTCTTATCCCAAAGAACCTATCAACAAACATAAATCTGTTTTATTATAAAACACTGGTAGACAAAATTGATGGTATCAAACATGAGGGTCAAGTTTACAATATACATACAGGAACCGTGTATTTTCCTGCATAATTAGAACTTGCAAGCTCGTAGAGCTCTCTTATACTCTTGGCATCATTTAAAGGATCAGGGTCAGCTCCTGGTTCTTCAGTGCTCAAAGAAGGAAAAATCCAACCCATGTGTTCATCAGTGTCCTTCGTTCTCCCCCATATGGGTTTAACAGACTTATTATGTCGACCCAAAAACAAAACGAAAAGAAAACTTCTTAGTGTCAACTTTTTAAGATTTTAAGTTCAACCTTATAAACTCATCTTCGTCTTAAATGTGCATTTTTGTTATAGAGGCCCATACCAAGACTTGGGGTTCCATTAATTTAAGATGTGTAGTCCAAAGTCTTATATGTAACTATTTAATATTGTATTTGACTAGTGTGAGATAGTATAACAAACTTTTTAATCAAATGAATTTTCTAAAGTATGCACGCTAAATTGGATAATAATGAAAAAAAGTAAAATTGAAGTACTTTTTTGCTCAAACATTTGAGGTTGCGGAAGATGAACAATTTAACGTTTCCTCATATTGTTTCTTTATTTGATAATAAAGTAAATTTTTAGTACAACTTTTTATGTTTAGCAGCTTTGGCCAATTCAATCATATCAGCTACAACTTCAGCAAACAAATTCCGCCATTTCACCAACTTCTGCTGCTCTAAGTCTAAGCCTTACCAAACAGGCTCTCAGAGAATATAATAGCACACCACTTACAGTGAAACTAATAGCTTTGTCAAGGCCTTTAATCTTCAGGTAGGCAAGACACCGTGATGCCCAAGGACACGCATATGACACATAGAGATGATACCTTCCAGCTTCTGCTGGGAAGGTAGAACTAGGGTCGCGTGAGATCGTATACCGGAAGTTGGACGGAGTTCTCTCAAAAGCACCAGATGCTGATGTCTCATCCACAGCAGACCGTGCCATTCGAAGAGTGTGCTACAAAAGGTGGTAGTAGGCAATATTAAACATTTGGAACCCATTCATCAGATTGCTGCCTAAAAGGCACCTTCTCTTATACTAGGAGCTGTTGTACTAGCAAGCATTACCGTAAAGGTCTTGTTTGGTTCTAGGATTTTGGGATTTTGGACTGGAGGGAAGGGGAGGGGAAATGTTTATTCATTTATATTTACTTCTAAATTCAGATGGTCAGAAATAAATCGAAGATACAAACTATATAAAAAATTATGATCAAGCTAATCATATAGCTATTTATAGTTTTTTGGAGAGCTATTTATAGTTTAATAATTACAAAAAAAAAATAGTTAATACAATAAAAGTTAGTCCTCTTCCTTTCAATCTGAAATCCCCGAACCAAACAACCCCTAAAACCTAAAACATCCCTCAAAAGATTAAAGAGTTGGAGTGCTAAGTACTAAGAGGTCAAGTTAAGATAAAAAAAACTTTGAGGTGCTCACATACAGTTAAAATACCGTTTATATAATTTACCCTAAGAATCTCAAAACCTAAAATATGGAAAACAAAAACAGACCTCAAGCTCCCAATCGTTTACTTGTTACCATCCATAATAGCAATATGTTTGGCTTCTCGTCCTAGGACATACCGGAAATGGGAAAAGTCCACAGATTTACATACATAACTTGGGATCCAATTCTTGGGATTAAATCAACCTACCTTTAGATTTCCCAAAAGCTAGAAGAAAAAAATGAAGAAAATACACAAGCAATCAAGAATTAACTACTCAAAGAGACAGATGTAACAATCGAATTCGCATAAGAAAATTCATTTACCTTAAAGTAGAGCTGCTGATGAAGATTATAAGGATGGATGAGTTTGCTCCGAGTCAGCGTTTGTATGATGACTTTGCTCTGTCCAGCAATTACAGAAGAAACCATAAATATGTCTCTGTATGAGGGGTGGTGGGCGCATCCCAATATTTTTATCAAATTCTATCCAAATTTTAGGTAGCAAAATCACTTTGACTTTCCGCCGGTTTTGTATGAGAAATTTACAATAACAATCCCACGTTGATAGCTCTTGTGTAATATTCTATTTTTATTTAATTCTACAATAATTTCTCCGTATTATTTTAGAAAACGAGGATGTGACGGGCCAACCGATTGTGGCTCACCAGGCAGAACTTTGAAGCTACTGTTGGACAGGAGTGAGGCTGATGGAAGTCTGCCAGGACGGCGGACTTCTATCCTTTTATTGCTCGGTTAATACTCCCTCCCTAATAATTTTGTCAAGTTTGACCGGCACGAGGATTAATAAAGTCAAAATTGTGTGGTTGCGGTTTGTGCAGAGGAGAGAGATTTAACTGGAACCGCATATTCTTTACTTAAAAGAGAAAGTGGTAAAATTAATGGGACGTCCAAAAAAGGAAAGTTGACAAAGTTATAAGGGACGGAGGGAGTATTGTTTTTATTACCTTGTCGCTCTTTGAGTGTTGGTTTGGTGGGTTTTTGTGTTTGTGTTAAGGGAAGATTTTGGCTTTTAAGGCCCACATTTACTTCGAATCTCTTACATGTCCAAATATAGAGTGTTTCTCTATTGAAAGTGGACTCTTTTACGCGTGCTTAGAGAGCGAGGGGACCATTTAGTTATATGTGATCTAGAAGGTAGTGCGAGCTCAAGGGTTTTGACGTGTTTTCAAGTTTTTCGTTCTTGATCAACTAAAGTTTAAGCTTTTTCCTTTCAAAAAAAAGTATGACACCCCTAATGGCTAAGTCCCATAGCTTTTCGTTATACTTTACAATTGTCAAGCCCTCCATGGTATATAAATTTGATGGCTAAGTCCCATAGCTTTTCGCTATATTTTATAATTGTCAATCCCTAATGGGCCATGGTATATAAATTAAATTTGATGGCCAAGTCTCATAGCTTTTCGTTATATTTTACAATTGTCAAGCCCCCCATGCTATATAAATTTGATGGCTAAGTCTCATAGCTTTTTGCTATATTTTACAATTGTCAAGCCCCCCATGGTATATAAATTTGGGAGATTAGGGTGGACCGATTTTGAATGTCTACAAAATAAGTGTAGTATTTTGGTTTTATATCTTTTCTGTTTACGTAGAAGATAATTATCTATATAAAGAAAATGAAAAATGACTACCATCACACATATTAATATTAAACATATACATGTACATTTTTTTAAATATGCTTTATAAATGTTAAACATATGTATATGATAGATATACTAGATACTTCTTTGCCCAAAAGTAATCATAACGTATCGTTCCACTTTTATTGGATGTCCCCGAAGGGACAACAACATTAATCATAACGTACTATATATACATGTAAGTCTAAAACGAAATGAGAGTTTACATAAATCGACACATTACAACTAATTGCAACTCTTTCTTCGGTCTTTGAGGCAATGCAAACCCCATCAGCTAGGAAGCAGTTCTTCTTTTGGATATCTGAGGATGCTCAATGTATGATCTTGTCCAGCTCCCATCAATGCCTCTTATGAATATACGGGGTTGTCCAGCTGGAAATGTCTCTTTCCAATCCGGGTGCTTGATAAAAAAATCACATTCCCTGAGAGCAAGAATTGAAGCATCAAACTTTTTTTCCCATCAAACTTTAAATGCACACACTGGCTAGCTACTTGTTAATTGAAAAAGAAAACGAGCAAATTATAATATATACAATCGAGTAGCTAAGATTTGATCCTATGGGAGGATCTACGTAGGTCATGACAATGGTGAGGTGAAAAACGGGGCAACTTAAAAATTTCAACTTTTAAGAGTAATTTTTTCACTTTTCATATTTAGCTCATCCCGCTTATGTTTAAGCCTAGTATACTTACCTTTTGTCTTAGTCTAACCTAGTTCCTGATCCGCCCTTTGTATGATGCCCAACAAATGAACGTCGAAGTCCAAAAATATATACGGAGTAGCTTACGAGCTACGTAATAGTTTATATTAATTAGGAATAATTATGTATTTTGGCAACTGATATTTATTATAAATATATCTGCCAAGGCTCCTTTTGGAGTACGGCTTTCCCATAATTCTCACATGGTATCAGAGCCAGACCTAATTTCTCCTTCACTAATTTTTTTCCGGTCGCCTCATGAGTTCGTCTATGACCTCGGCCGCAGCACTGGCTTCGACCACCGTGGGCTCTTCTGCCACTGCCGTCATCACCACGGCGCCGGAAGCCTCGATCCCCACCACAGCTATGACGACGTCACCAGCATCTTCCTCCTCGGTTTCTGCCAATTTTTCAAGCAGTGTCATCATCTCTCCGCTGTTTCGACCTTCGTCATCAAGTATGTTTGCAAACTTTCCTCCGCCACCAAACTTCTCTACGGCAGAACCCTACAGTCTCTTTCAATCGCTGCAACCGCGCTTCTCGGTTCCGCCTCGAGTGAGTCACCCTGCCGCTGTGCCTGCTTCTCCAACGCCACCGCCAACCTCCCTGTTTTTTGGCTTTACGTTCTCTGGCACTCCGGGTATTATTCGACCGGCTGATCACACGGGTTTCGGCTCTCCTATGTCGGCCCTTGCTCAGTCTGTGTCGCATATTACCACGATCTCTCAAATTGTTACTATCAAGTTGAAGGCAGTGGAAGATTATCTCACTTGGCGCACTCAGTTCGAGTCCTTCTTGGTTTCTCAAGGTCTATTTGGTGTTATTGATGGCTCTATTGAGGCACCCCCTATGTATACGATTGATTTTGCTAGCCGTCAAGTTCCAAATTTTGAATATTATTATTGGTTACGAGTAGATCAAACAATTCGTTGTTGGTTGTTTGCTACTTTAACTCGGGATGTTTTAGTTGATGTTCATGACTTAAAACATTCTGCTGCTATCTGGGCTAGACTTCAGACTCGATTTATGTCTGCAAGTCTACCACGGTGCATGGAACTTAAACGGTTATTGTCCACAATCAAAAAGAAAGAAACGTAGTCTATGGAAATTTATTTACGCGACATCAAGAATTTAGTAGATGCGCTTGCTGCAATTAATTCCCCTGTTTCGGACAAAGAACTTCTGGAATATATTTTGGTTGGATTGGGCCTGGAGTATCGGTCACTTGTTATGACTGTGTCTTTATTTCCCCATCAATTTCCGTTTGATATTCTGCAACCTCGTCTCTTGGAAGAAGAACAAAGAGTTCTATCCGAGCATCAACAAGTTTCAGCCGGCCATCAAGCGTTTGTAGCTATTGTTGCCGGTGGACAGCAACCGGCTGGATATCCAAATCACGGCAGAGGAGGCCGCGGACGGGGTGGCGGTCGCGGCAGGGGTCCACCGAATTTTTACAATCAACAGCAGCAACCTGGTGCTCCCTACTACGGCCAGCAACAGGTCGTCGCACCTGCACACACCAATTCAGCGGCCAACAGGGGTCGCAACAGCAGGGGGCTGGGCCGAGCTAGCTGGGTTACGGGTTCGGTCCACACAGGCAGCAGGTTACGTCTCAGGGGGTGGCGTCTCCTCGTCCACACACTACAGGTTCTGCATGTAATTCAGTTTTGTCAACTTTAAATATTAATCCCTATTTTATTCATGATACTTATACAAGCACTGCAGGTTTTCCATCGGGTGAGGGCATCCATCGTTCTGTTCCACCACCCATTGTTTGTCAATTGTGTTTTTCTGCAGGTCATTCCGCTCTTCAGTGTCCATCTCGTTATAGTCAGCCATCTGCTTCTGCTCTTCTGACCTCCAATAATGGTGAATCCAATGTTGCTTTATGGTACCCTGACTCTGGGGCTTCGGCTCATATGACTCCTTCAGAAGGTATTTTAGTTAATAAATCTCCTTATACCGGTCCACTTTCTGTTAGTGTAGCCAATGGCTCTAAACTTCCGATAGCTAATATTGGGGATGTGCATTTAAATTCTACTAGCCGTTCTCTCACGTTAAAATATGTTTTTCATGTGCCTCATATTAAATTTAATTTATTATCCATTCAAAAAAATTGTGCTGATAACAACTGTGTTGTAATTTTTGATAAACATTCTTTTTTTGTTAAGGACAAAACTTCGGGGAAGGTCCTTCTTCAAGCACCTAGTCATGGTCATCTATATCCAGTTAGCCTCAACCCCAAGCCTCCACTAGTGTTATCTTCCTTCACCTCATCTGGCCATGTGTGACATCGTAGACTAGGCCATTGTGACAACTCTATTTTACGTAGTTTACATAGTCAGCGACACATTTGTAGTAGCTCTAGTTTTTCTCATGATTGTATTTCTTGCCACTTAGGCAAATCTCAACGTTTACCCTTTACGGATGCTAGTCATACTTCTACTATGTCTTTACAATTAATTCATTCTGATGTTTGGCAATCTCCCATTTTATCTAATTTGAGGTTTAAAAATTATGTGTGCTTTATTGATGATTTTTCTCGCTACACTTGGCTTTTTCCCATGCGCACTAAGTCTGAGGTTTTTCACCATTTTCAAAATTTTAAGTCCTTAGTTGAAAATCTCTTTAACACACGAATTAAAATTTTTCAAAGTGATGGAGGGGGTGAATTTGTTAATTTCAATATGCAGCAATTTTTTACCTTCATGGAATATATTTTTGAAAATCATGTCCTGAAATGCCTCAACAAAATGGGGTTGCTGAACGAAAACATCAGCATTTATTAGAACTCACTCGGACTATGCTTCTTGAGGCATCTCTTCCTAGTCAGTTTTGGGTAGATTCCATTTTTACGGCTGCATATATTAGTAATCGTTTACCCTCTCCCTTACTTGGTGGTCATTCTCCATATGAAAGACTTTCTCAAAAACCACCTGACTATTCCTTTATGCGTGTGTTTGGTTGCTCCTGCTTTCCAAATATTTCTGCCACTTCTGCCAACAAACTTTCTGCTCGTTCTATTCACTGTGTTTTTATTGGCTATGCTTTTGGCTATAAAGGGTATCGTTGTCTTGAGCCTAAGTCCGGTAAAGTTTATGTTAGTCGTCATGTTCGCTTTCTTGAAGATAGTTTTCCGTATACATCCTTGATGTCCTCCCTGCCTGACCCATCTTCCCAACCTGCAACTACCGACTTTCTATTGACTAATACTCTTAGGCCGTCCCACATACAACCTGTCAACCAAGCTTCCCAAAACTCGTCCAGTACAGCAGCACGGTCGGCAGCGGGTCCACTGACTCTCGTTCCTCCGTCTGCGGCTACTGGCTCGACAACCACTCCCAGTCCAACCAGTTCCATCCATTCCTCTCCTCCTCCTTATGACCAGACTCCACCCGACTCCCCACATAGCCAGAACTCCCAACAACGGTCCAACAGCCCATCTGCCTCACCCGAAACTCCATCTCCCAGGCACCATACTTCCAGCTCTTCCTTTTCGGCGTCTGCTGCTACCTCCTCCAGTGTGTCCAACCCATTATCCACTCCTATCTCCAGTCTGTCTCCTTCGCCGTTGAATGTTTATCCTATGCAAACTCGGGCTAAATCCGGTATTTTTAAGCCTAAATCAATTTTTACATTAAACACGGTTGTTAACTCAGCGAATCCGACTTGTTTTTCTGAGGCACATAAGAGTTTGGTTTGGCATGAGGCTATGGCTAAAGAATTTAATGCACTTATTTCTAATAATACTTGGGATTTAGTTCCATTTGATAGCACTAAGAATGTGGTTGGCTCTAAGTGGATTTATAAAACTAAATTTCATTCGGATGGGTCGATTGAGCGTCATAAGGCACGTTTGGTTGCACATGGTTTTAATCAGCAGGCTGGGGTAGATTTTTCTGAAACTTTTAGTCCTTTCGTTAAACCCACCACTGTTCGTATTGTACTCTCTCTTGCTATTTCTTTTGGGTGGGTTATGCGTCAGTTGGATGTGAAAAATGCATTCCTTCACGGTTACCTTACTGAAGAAGTTTATATGCGTCACCCGCGGGGTTTTATTCATCCTCAGTTCCCTCATTATGTGTGTCGTTTGCGCAAGGCTATTTATGGCCTCAAGCAGGCCCCGCGGGCTTGGTTTCATCGTTTCAGTAGTTTTCTACTTACTCATAATTTTGTATGTAGTAAGTCTGATAATTCTCTTTTTATTTTTCGTCACGGTCAGTCAGTTATTTATTTATTATTATATGTTGATGATATTATTGTTACTGGCAATTCTCCATCTCTTCCGTCTTCCTTTATTAGTCGTATTGCGTCTCATTTTGCTATGAAGGATCTTGGTGATCTCCACTATTTTTTGGGGGTCCAAGCTGTTCGAAACTCTAAAGGAGTTTTTCTATCTCAGCAAAAATATGTGTCTGATCTTCTTCTTCGATTTCATCTACACACTCTCAAGTCTGTTCGTACACCTTTAGCCACTCGCACTACTCTCTCCCTCACAGATGGTGAACTTCTCGCAGATGCTACTGAGTATCGTAGTATGGTAGGTGCATTACAATATTTAACTTTGACTAGATCTGATATTACTTATGCAGTTCATGCATGCTCCACGCACTACTCACATGCTTGATGTGAAGCGTATTTTCAGATATTTATAGGGCACTATTGATCATGGGTTATGGCTCCAGGCGTCTGCTAATCCCATTCGTATTTTGGCTTATTCTGATGCTGATTGGGCGGGATGTCCTGATAGCTCTCGTTCTACTTCTGGATTTGCCATCTTCTTGGGTCCGAATCTTATATCCTGGAAGTCCAAGAAGCAGCCTACTGTGTCTAAGTCATCCACGGAGGCAGAATATAGAGCCATTGCATATACAGTGCAGGATACCCTTCACATTCGCTCCATTCTCTTCGAGCTAGGTCTACCGGTTCGTGTTCCTGTTCAGCTCTTCTGTGATAATATATCTGCCTCATATCTGACAGCTAATCTAGTTCAGCATGCTCGGAGTAAGCATATTCAGATTGACTACCATTTTGTTCGGGAAAGACATGCTCATGATGATTTGGTTGTTCAATATGTTCCTACACTACATCTTCAGCTCGCGGATATATTTACTAAGAGTTTGTCTAGTCAGCAATTTCATTTTTTAAAAGACAACCTGCGCGTTGTATCTCCCGCACAGCTTGAAGGGGTGTAATAGTTTATATTAATTAGGAATAATTATGTATTTTGGCAACTGATATTTATTATAAATATACGTGTCAAGGCTCCTTTCGGAATATGGCTTTCCCATAATTCTCACACTACGTAGTATAAGCTAGTGAGATATATACAAGTAGTATACAACCAATTAAGCTATTAGCTAGGTAGTATTATTTAAGTTGCTAAGCATCAACTCACATATTATAGGTTGTTTTTACCAATTAAGCATGCATGCCTTTACTAATTATGAGACTTTCTTAGTTCACATTCAAATAAAAATGATTAATCAAAAAATTTACAGGCTATGAAACTTAATTAATTACACTAGTTGAAAACATATTTTAATTTATCTACTCGTTCAACTTGGTATAAATTATTAGTAGGATGTTATGAAAGGGTATATGTCAAGTAGATGTAAAAAAAAAACAGGTTAGTTCCACATAACAGAGACCACGGAGTATCCCTCCTGCCCAAAATTACAGTCTTATTTCTTTTGAGCACAAAATTTAAGAAAATAGGAAGATTTGGATAACAAATTACCATTTGTAAATATTTAGAATTATAAAATTAAATTTACAATGGACATTTTATACAATAAAAATGTGCCCAAAATGAAGCAATAGTATCAACTATCAATATATGAACAAGGAAAAAATGGGACGATATTAATTTGGAACAGAGGGATCAGGGTTGTAATTTACCTTCTTATTAAGGTTGCGTAGAAAGAAACATCTTTTTCACTAACGGGAGTAGTAAAAGAATTGTTAATTATTTCACGATCAGGTAGCTTTTGGCGTGCTTCACGACTTTTCACAAAATTCATGTCCCTGAATATATAATAAGGAAAAGGTAGGAGCACGTAAAATTTTAAAGAAGTGGTAGCACTACTAACGTACGTAAATAGGATAAGTACACGTATTTCATTGAATTGACATAAATTAGTGAAAATGATCGTTTTATCTAATTTTTCATCTAATTATCTATTTATTTTATTAGTAGATTATATTTTAGACCTATATTACCTCCGTTCCATATTGGTTGTCCTGTTTTAATTTGACACGATTATTAAGAAAGTGGTTGAAAAGTAAATATTGTGGTTCAGACTTAGTAAAATAGAGTGAAATAATAGGAACCACATATTGCTTGCCAAAAAAGAAACGAGACATTCATTTTGGAACAATCCAAAAAGAAAAGTAGGACAAATAAAATGGGATGGGGCGAGTGAGGTTCAACTACTTGAATGGCGTAAACCAAAAGACATAGGTCGGCGGGTAGGATCGTACCAAGGGCAGGGAGTAATAACAAACTTGTCGGAGCGAGTGTCATATGTGTCTAGCAACCTGTCGTCTTCCCAAGTGGCAGGGCAAAAAAGAGCAGTGTTTAGTCGAGCTTTCCTAACGACTGAATCTGGGCATATTGTTGCGTTGTCAAACCATCCAGGAAATATTAACCCACTCGCAGTTTCCACCTATCAATCAATAAACGACATGATTGCATGTATACAAACGTTTACGCACGTGGGTGAAAGTTTTTTTGTTGGTAAATACATTGTTGACAGATAAAACATGATTACATGCATACCAAAAAACCGGAAAACATTGGCTGAGAATTTCCCTGTTTATCATAGCTGGTGTTGCGATTAAGAGTGTGCAAAGTTTTCATATTGAATCTCTTGGTGCTTTTACAAAGAAATTCGATTATCTTCACACAAATTTCATAAGAAATTCCTTCCGTGCGGGTTTCACTTTCTTCACGTGGTGCCTCATTGTGACCATTTATTATATGCACCTGCGCGCATATCATACGTACCACCTCAATTTAATTACCATTAAGCAGCACAGTTATTCACTGGACCTCATTTAATTTGTCTCCACCCACATGTGTAGTATCCATACACATGTGGTCATTTTCACAATTACACAAAATTCAAATACGGTTTTTATAATTATTCCTAAATAATTACAAAAACATCACATCATCAATATTAACAAATGAATGATGAAGATTAGAAGTTATATGGGTCTCATTCTAAGAGGGTATTACTTCGTATTAGAGAATTGAATATAGATATATACATACATCAACAATTTCATTCTCGCTCTCTTCATCCATAAGGAGGGATGACAACATTCGGTTGAGGCCTTTATCAACAACTTTTGGAAAATCCACATGAGCAACACTTATCCTACATACACACATCAATTAAAATTGATCATATAGTTAGATAGTGATAGGCAACCGGTGCAGCAGCCCATTCAATACTTCAATAAAGTGTATACGAGGAGAAATAAGAAGTTTTATCCCTGCGTGGATATGAGCTATAAATAGAAGGGTAATAGCTAAATAAGGTAGGCTGTTATTCGGTGTTCGGCTTGGAGAGTGGGCTTCTCAAACCTTCGTTGAGACCTCTAGCATCAATAAACTCTTCGATCTGTTCTTAGCTAATTTCTCCTAGATTAGCTATAGTTTACTTTGAATTACTACCAGTGTCCTATCAGATAGATAAATAGATCCATATATGAAATCAACTGATGGAAAGAGAGTGAGGTTTCATTCCAATTCTTTGTTTGGAATTAAGCTCGAAACTTCTCCGGTCACTCTTTTCTTACCAGGTGAGCTACTCCCTACTGGCATGGTAATGTTATACGTAGTATATCGATCCAATACACACACATATGTACTATTCGATCTGATTTATTAGCTAATAATATAATCTATAGATAATACATTTGAGAGATAAAATTAAAGAAAATATTCATTTTTTATTAATAAAATCTGGTAAATGTTCTCTGGCATCTACCCCACTGATTTTGGTGGTTTACCTTCCGGGTGAAAAAAAAACTAAAATACTATCTACAACTCATATTATTTAGGACAACACCAAAATAAAATCTCATTTTTTAAGTGTGATAACATTTTCTTTTGAACTCTGATTGTTACAAAACTTATATCAAAATTTGTAATTTTTTATTATCTTTCAAATGACACCAGTATTGAATATACAAAAACAAAAAATAATTTAACAATCTAAAAAACATACGTAGTATAATTTTTAAAAGTTATATAACTTTTTATTTGTACTCTGATTATTACAAAAAATATATTCAAAATCATAGCTTTTTATTATCTTTCAAATGATACCAAAATTGAATATTGAATATAAACAATGTTTTAACACATTAAAAAACATTTGTTTTTAAAGTGCTATAATTTTTTATTTGTACTCCGATGCTTACAAAAAATATATCATACTACCTCCGTCCCGGAAACAAGTTCCCGGGTTGACATTCACACATTTTTAGAAAATAAATTTACTGAGGGGTAAATTTTACTGTTTCGACACTGTTTGGCACTGTGTTGCATTGTTTGACAATGTTTTGCACTGTTTTGATGTAGATAATTTGCCAAATAAGGAAATGAGAAGTTTATTTTGGGACATCCAAATAAGGAAAGTGGGAACTTGTTTCCGCGACGGAGGGAGTAATTCATATCTTTTCAGTATCTTTTGTATGCCATTAATGTTGCATATATAAAAATAAAAAATAATTCTATTAATTTGTGCAATTTAGGATCGTTTTTTCCCGTACACACTATTAATTTGAAAATACCAAACTTTGAAGGGGTGTGCGGTAAGTACCCCAAACTTACACATGTAATATATACCTCATCTTTATATAATAAAAAGTTATGTTGGCAGAATGATCATATAATTTTTCACAAATGTAACTTTATAGTGTTAAATACATAGTTTAAAATACACAGAACATTTATGATGATGCAATTAAAATTATATTGAATCGGATGTAATATTCTTTATTTGACAAATGAATTTTTAGATTGTTAACTACATCCAAACAAAGTTTAGAGTATTTTCAATTATGTAGTTATTGCAATTGATTTATATTTTCAAAAACCATAATCATGGTTAAAAATTAAATTTTATATACAATTTGGGTTATATATATTGCATATGCAAATTTGGGGTATTTTCTCACACACATTCAAAGTTTGAGATAATTATTATTTTCCCCTTGATCCAGAGTGATAGCTTAGAATAAAATAGCATAAACTCCATGACTTTTATTTATTGTTTTAATTAGCTAGACTATATCAGTCTTATATCAAAACAAAACATATCAAACCAGATTAAATCAAACCAGGTCATAATTCGACACTCGCAAAGTACACGTAAACAAACATGTATCAGATCAGTTCAGATCAAATCAAACTAAGTGAGACAAATCAGACAGACCGGACACGAAGATTTCAATCGAATTGACATGTGACGAACTGAAAACACACTTTCCATCAAACATAGATTAACGCAATTGTACTCAAATACAATTTCACTAGACTCCTACTTATAGAAATTTTACTCAAACACAAATTAACACAATTTCACTACTCTTCTTACACACAATTTCTCCAAATCCAAAGTTACACTTTTCTCATTATTCCATATGAATTCTTAATTTTTTTTCAAAAATTAACTGCACACTTTTGTAATTTATTTATCTAAATGGGTGTAGTCAACTTTTTCAAAGATATTAGTCCTTTATTTTTTTAATCGATAATTCAAGTATATTTTGAGAAATATTATTGATGAGTATATAATATAATAGGGCCATTGATTATAACTATGGTGTTAAAAATGTATTATTATTAGTATTTGATGACTAAATTATTATTAAAAAGTGCTAATTATTTCCTAAAATAAAAATGAGAACATTTATTAGGATAACCAAAGTTATAAAGGACAGAGGGAGTACTATCGTCATTTTTTAGTAACTTAAGGTCTCAATGAATCATATGGTTGTAATTCTATTATAAAATATAATAATTGTAAAGTAAGTTAGTAGTGTAATGTTTTTCAAAAGGTACACTTTCATTCTTTTTAACTCATATTAGTTATAGATTTATAGGTGATGCAAATTAAAATGTCGAGAACTCGAGATGTGGATATATTTTTCGTATTATATATACACGAATAGTCGAGAATTGAGCTTATTAGAAGTAGATTAATAATCATTAGATTATTATTATCTTCAATCATTCCTTTAAAATATGGTAAAATATGGAGCACGATAGCATGAAAAATGTGGAACGTGATTGATTTGATAATATGATGAAAGTTTATATTTTGTCAAATACGGAGTAAATGTTAGTTTCAATTGCCTCAACTTTATTTTTCTTTATTCCTCGATGATTTACATACCAAATTAAAATTAGTGTCTTGATTAAATTGCAAATCATTTAAGTGTCACTTGACTTTAACCGGGAAGTGTTTGAGATAGATAAATATAAAATTATTATTTCAATAACGGGTTGCAGTATAGCCATTATTGTTTAAATCAATGGTAATCATACTTAACCACTTCCTATTTGACTATAGAGGGTGAAGAAAAGTGATTTCATTGGACAGTTAAATTGATCTGGTACATGTCTGTTCTATGTATATTCAGCAAATATGTTTTTTTATAATTAACTTTTTATTTATTTTTAATTTTTTATTTTTTTAAAAAATAGGTTTTATTATTTTAATATTTTTTAAAAATATTTTTGATTTTTTATATTTTTTAACAATTTTTCGTATAAGTTAAAATATAGTTTTATTGTTTTTTGTTTTTATTACAAATTAAAATATGATCATCATGCTAAGGATATATTAGGAAGATAGAGTATACGTTAGTCCTATTTTGAAAGGATAAATAACATAATCTTATTTGTGCATTCACGGATTAGTTTAGTCCTATTTAGGGCTATTTTCCCATATAATAATCAGATCATTGTCCAAAATTTGTTATCATTGACCCAGAAAAGCCAATATGACAAATATTTCGGGGTAGAGGTAGTATATATCAATTATATGCTGACACAAAAAGTGGTGCTTAAGAGTTAGAAAAATAAGTTAGACTATGTATAAATGGTACTACATAATTTTTTTAATCATGGATGTAACTTTAATATAGTACTACATAGTATTTGTTCATGAAAATTGATACGGGAATCATTTTTCATTTTTTTAATTTGCTATTTTTATTTTTCATTGAATTGTTTGACATATTTATATTTTAATTATTAGCTACCACTTGATGTGTAAAATCTTTTTATAGATTCAATTCATTTATCGTTGTAGGTAAAAATTGCCTACAATGATAAAGTGCACTTAAGTAAACCTAGTGCAACCTAGGTTCATGCGTAAAATAGTGTTTGTAAATAAATAAGGTGAACCCAAGTTAATGTAATAAATGTTGTTTGGATGAAAGTACTCTAACTTATTTTATGTTGAACGAGAATTTAACCTCCAAAACCTCCCACTTCGGAGGTTCTTCAATTTGAGTTGTTTCCAGGTTCTCGAGAGTGATGTGAGGTTAAGTCATAATCTAGGTTCTTGTTGCAAAAATACAAACAAACGAGGTTAACTAAAAATTAAACCTGCAATAATCTAGGTTAACCCCAAAACAAACAGGTCATAAAAGTCTAAAGTATATGCAATCTTTGTTTATTCAATAACCCCTTATTTTACTTATTACTTAATAAGATCAAATAGTTTCAATAACTCAATATAATGAAAAATGAATCAACCGCTACCTATCGTGTTATGTAAAACTTCATTAAAATCATAATGTCACAAAATTATATTTTTCTAAACTCTTGTCTTTAAAAAAGAGATAGAAGAACTAATTTCCTAAATTCTAAATTCTAGAAGGGCTAATATTTTAAAAAAATGACTACACCCATTATTAAATAAATACTCCGTAAATTACAAAAATGTGTAGTTAGTTTTGAAAAAACAGTAAGACGAGATTAAATCTAATAGATTAAAATAGGCACTAAGCAACTTTTTATATTAGGTAAAGATCGATGGTTGAAAAATTACTTTCATTTGGATGTAACGGAGAGTTATTAAAATATTGGCCCTTTTAATTGGAAAATATAGACTAATCAAGAACATGTTTAAATATTTAGTTAAAATATAAGACATACTCATCATCAATAAATAAGAATATGAATTGTCAAGTATCAACTGATTTTATAATCGAATGAATCAACGAATTTCCATTAGTTATAATACCACATACATATACCAATGCGCACACACACACATATAACAAAAACAAATCCCGTGCACGACACCGTCGGCACGGGTGAAGATATTAGTATAATAAATAAATAAATAAATAAATAAATAAATAAATAAATAAATAAATAAATAAATAAATAAATAAATAAATAAATAAATAAATAAATAAATTGTATATATGCATGTTCTTACCATCCACTTTTAGGGTTCCGCATGACAACACCAACACAACCTCCTTGCCCATCAGTGCCGATTACCTACGTACGTGTCATTTTCAAATCTATATGTTACACACATGTCGACACTCCCCGGCCCGTAATATAATGCTAATAACAAGAATTATATTCATGGATGGAGTCAAAAATATATATTAAGAGAGCAAGACTTAAGCATGTACTCAAAAGGTCGGATCATTTTGAGGCAATACTTAAGTGGAAAGACGTTACTTTTAAAATTTGTGAATATAATTAATAGAGTTTGGATCAAGTTGGAATATGATCTAAGATGAGAAATGATAATGAATTTGTAACATTGAATTCGTTGTTCAATTTCTGAAATTAAAATGTGCAATGCAAGAATGAAAATGATGGCGGCATTTTCATAAACAAAGTTCACTTTTTGTACCATTGTAAAATATGCATTATTTTAACAAGAAATATGAAATTCCATGAACCTTCATATGCACTGTGTTGCATCACTCGCATTTCTTATAGGAAGAATCATTTTCACTAGAACCAAATTCATAATTATTAATCCGAATTATGCATTGAATTTTGTCCATTTCAATTTTAGATAGTTCTAATTTTCTAAGAGTGGTGAATTTTGGCTCGTATTGATCGAGTTATGAAACGTAATACTACGTATATCAAATCGAAAGTATATCAACATTCTACTTGCTCAAACTTTCAGGGGGTAACGATAAACATGCTAGATCATCTAAATGTACAATTGAAAACAATAATACGCAAATCTTCTCATAAAAACACTAACTTTTAATTTTGGTTGTATAATTAATCTCAAGTCTCAACTATTGGCCAAGGACCATCCACTAATAAAAATCTGTGACTTGTTATAACGTGCTTCAACAAGCCACTTTTAAATGCAAACTAAACATAATCCATTTATTTCAATTTTGTTCATTATTCTCTAATTAATAATTCCAATCAAATCATTGATTTGGTATTTCACAACAAAGATTATTAGTATAATTTTACGAAATTATATTATATCAGGTTTCAATTTAAAAAATATCTAAAAACTTACCATGGTTTGAAAAAAAACTTAAAAAACGTACCATGCATTGATTTTAAACTTTTCATTCAAAAATAATTATGTTTTTATTAACTTTTACTTTTTTTTAGGTAATCAACTTTTACTTTTAAGATTTTAATTATCTAATTTTTCCGTTTTGTTTAATACTTTGCTTTGAGCTTGTGTTTATTTGTTTATTTTAAAAACTACCTAAAAGGTAATATTAACTACCTTAATTAGACTACACACACATATGTTTATAAAAGTTAATTTTAAAAACGTTAAAGCTTAAATGAATATACCGTCAAAAAAAAAACTTAAATGAATATATTTATATACAAAAATTTAATTACCTCTTAGAAGTTTTAATATGGCGTTTTGTCAAATATAATTTTAAAAGAAAACTCATGGATAAAAATAGGATCATACCCAAAAAATTTCAAAAAAGAAACAAATAGGACATTTATGCGCTCATTCCCGTACCTAGTGACAGGGCCGGTCCCGAAGAAATGTAGACCATGTGCGAGAATAAAATTTGGGCCTTTTTTCAAGTTGCAACACAAGCAAATTGTCTTAAAATACAACTTACGAATAAATGTAATGATAAAAATAGTCATTAATAACTTACAATTTATTTAAAAAGGGACATTCTTCAAGCATATTTAGATTTACGCAGGAGGATTTTGGGCTGGAGCGTAATACTAAATTTTTTTTGGGCCCTTCAAAAATCCGGGCCCTGTGCGGTCGCACTAGGCAACCATGCCCTGGGCCGGCCCTGCCTAGTGACTCTTGTCACATTGATAGAGACCCGCTGCCAGTGACCTGCGGCCGTCGCTGCAGTGATCCGCCGACGTCATCAGTGACAGTTACACGACCCGACAATTACCATTACCCAACTCGACAATTACAATAATTCGATTGACCAATTGCAGTTATCCGACCCGACTAGTTACAGTTACCCGACCTATTCCTATTTTTGTTCACAAGAATCCCTCAACTATTATTTGTGTCATTCTATGTTTTTATATCATTAATTAATAAAAAGTTTTACATAGAACAACAGATTTGCAATATACAATGACTGAATATCATGATATGATTAATTATATTTGATGTATAGAAGTATTTATGAATTAACTTACATCAACTAATGAAGGATCCACGGTAGCATACTCCTTTTGGGCTACATAAACACATTTAGTTTCTCTTGTTATCAGGAAATCAGAATTACGTGAGAGGGAAAGCATTCCTTGCGACAATGAACGGTATGCAGAAGCAATGGAATTCAAATGAGGGTGATTCGCTAATAAAGAGTTCAAGATGTCACGTGCCTGCACATCAAATTAAGTCCAACACATATTTGAATCAATTTGAATGTATTTTGATAATTTTATCATTAAATATATTCGAATTGGAGTGTGCATCATAATTGTGTGATGTTCTTTTGAAAGAAATAAAATCATATTTTATTCATTAAACCATTGTCGTCCGAAACATATATTCGTGTGTATTATTGTTATCTGTAAAATAAAATGATACTTTCCATTAGAAATTTAACGGAACGATTGAGACAAGAATGAAAAATTATCAAACCCTAATTAAAGTACCTCAGTAGTAGAAAAAACCTCATGGTGAGGGTGAGTACATATTGTTTCATCACCTTCTCTAACTAGTATCATGTTGAGATGGCCTCTATCGACTAGAATAAATATTTGGATTATATCGATGAACTTTGAAACTATATCTTAGAAAAGTATATATATAATTAAGATGGAGTAATATAATACACAATATAATGGTTCGTCCAATCGTTGTTAATTTGTCATTCTCATACCTCAATCCAAATTTATAGGACGACAAGAGTTCAAACTTACTCAAATTATTTAAGGTTTAATATTCTTTAACATTTCATGTAGTTTTAAGAAGCGTTCGTTTAGTTATTCATATTATATAGAAAAGTTGTTGAATTTGAGAACTGTTATATATAAATTATTGAATAAATAAGCTACTAACAAAATACTAACAAATTTCATCCATATATGGTTAATGAAATTCCTAAAGATGGCCAAAAATGAATAGTTTAATTAAATATACGTGTAATCAGATAAATTGGAAGATTCTAAAAGAGGGATAAATTGGGACGGTGGAAATTAAGAACAAAAATTTCATCCATATATGGTTTGAGATTCTTTTTTTTGGGGGGAAGAGTTAATGAGATTCTTAAAGTAGGCAAAAAAACGTAGAGTTTAAACATACGTGTAATGAGATAAAGACAAATAAATTGGAAGATTCTAAATTAAGAGGGATGACTTGGTATGGTGGCATGCAGTTAAGAATAAATCTGAAGCCTTCTTCACCAAGACATGCTTAATTAAATCGATGAATTATGTTGTGGGAGATTATTATATTTGAACTTGGTTAATTATTATTTTATAATAGTAAAAAAGAAACGGTGAAAGGAATCAAATTCTAACTAATTTTATACCAGCTTAAACTCAACTAATTAATTAAGTTCAATCATGGGACAATGGACAATTTCTATTTCCTTCTTAGGTGAACTAGTAAATCACCCGTGCGATGCACGGCCGGAGAATTTCTATCTCATTTTTTCTCCTTTCAAATTGTTTTCAAAACAATCGCCACAAAAGACTTATTGACAATAATACAAAACTTTGCCAATAAGTTACAAAGTACACAATTCACGATCAGCCACAGTAATAAAATAATAAAGTACACCAAAATAATTCTACAATGACCTATATAGGCATTTGTTAAAAACGGAATGGAATGCAACGCTACACGTTATTGAAAACTTAATCATAAACAACAATTTCAGTGGCATTCGCGGTCTTGCCGCTGTCATCACATATAAGAATTCTCAAACCACGCCTGTTGGTCACTCTTGAAACCGCAACATAGAGTTGTCCATGCGTGAACACAGGTTTCCTCAACAACAAATCCACCCGTGCGATGCACTGCCGGTGAATTTCTAACCAATTTTTTCTTCCTTCATAATTTTTTCAACACCATCGGCCCAAAAATATTTGCTGATAATAAAAACAAACCTTTGGAGTACACTTACCAAGTACACAATTCAAGATTAAGGAAATATTAAACATAGAAATATAATAAACAAACCAAAATAATTCTGCAAAGATCAACACACATATGTTAAAAACTGAATTCAATGCAACGCTAGACGTTATTGAAAATTTCTTTATAAACCATATTTTGAGTGGCATCAGTCGTCCTGTCGCACTCATTGCATATAAGTATTTTCAATGCAACGCCAAACGTTATTGAAAACTTCTTTATAAAGTCAAAAAAATAATACCTTGAGAAAAAGTCACAAACATAAAGGAAATAATAACCCAAAATCTATAAATCAGTACTTTGAAAAGAATTAAAAGTGTAATACTTTGCATGAATATAAGCAGTGCTAGGTCCGAAACGAACGTCACGGCCAGAACACGTCATACGCGTCATGCATTAACAGTAAGTTTTTTTCAAATCTTTTAACGGAGTTTGAATTAATTTGGAACACGCGACATTAAATGCCAGTATAACACAAAAGGAGTTCTGGGAAAAATGAAAACATGACCAAAAATCAATCCTTAAATAAAAAAAGAAGTGTCTTACTCTATAACCTAAACCGAAACAACGGATACCTACTATAAAACACAATAATAACATGTTATAAGCGAACAATATATTAATTATTGAATATACAAAGATATTCATTGTCAGCACAAAAAATGGGAAAAAATGGATAAATATTTTAAAGGCTAAAAAATTAATGCATGTGAAATAAATTTTGGAAAAAACCAAACACTTAACTCGGTTCAAATCCAAAAGAACGAATGCCAGTTTATTTCCGCAGCAAAACCCATAAAAACAAAACACCAGCGGCCCAAACAACCCAAAAATCAAAGCCCAATAACCCAACCCTTATCCTCGTTGAACAGGTCAATCCCACCCCAAACCCTCCTGAAAAGATCGGAAATGATCCGACACTCAGAGCTACTCCATCTCTAACGAACACATCGGAAAAGATACCCACTGCCCCATCGCATACCACCGTCAGAACTCGAAAATAACACCCCAGCCTAAAGAAAACAACGTCGGATCCTCAACCTCCGAACCTAACTCCACAGCATAGACCACTTCTCCACCATACAGAGACGGCACTCCGCCCTCGATCCCTAACGACGACGATTAGGAGAGGTCAAGAGCGCTGCGGCGAAGACCCCAAACGACACATGTTGTTACCAACGGGGATGGATCTACGACGTTAAGCAATAGGCTTCACAGGTAACTTTCCTCATCCCAAATCACACCAAAACTCAAACCCTACCCCTGAGCCTTTACATTCACGAACACAACACAACTCCTGAACACCAACCTTCTTTAACCACCAACAACACAAACATATATTTTTTACCCAAAAAACTTAACAAACCTCCCGATCTATCATTTTTTCTTCTCATTCGGTTGTCAGAGACAAACCCCAACTTGCAAATGGTTTTGAATTGAAAAAATTGTATTTTGTAAGAATTAATAAAAACCGAAAAAATATAGTCCAAAACACATCAAGGATTAAACACATAGATCTGCAAGATCCGAACTTCTGTCTATTTTTCCACCATGATTTAAACATTAACCCAAAATTTTACCCAATATTTTTGCGGAAACATTAATCAAGCATTTTTTAACAAACATAGTATATTTTTTTTTCATCATACCGGTTTTTCCAGATTAATTTTCGCATGTATCCCACTTAAAGCTTATTAATTAGCTTTGATAAAATATTAAAATTTTAATAATAATCTCCAAAAACATATTTCTAAATTTTTTAATTTTTTTTTCATTTTCGCTATTAATTCATATAATATAATTTCATATCATTTTTTCATGGTGACAACCCCAGTACCCTTTTAAAAAATTGGGTACCGTACCTATCATTCATTTGATTGGACCACATCACTTTATCATTTTTAATTTAGATTTAAATAATTCAACTTTAACATTCTCATTGGTCCATGTGGACAAAGGTATGATATCTTTGGGTACCATAGAATCTACCTTTTTTCAAATCACTGATAATTTACTTTTTAGATATTTATTTAATCAGAGCCTTTTTTTTTAGGAAAATTCGGAAATGTCTAGGTTTTTTATAAAAGACCCTGTCAATTTTATAAGGCACAAAAAAATACTAAAACAAAAATCTTAACAGAAGAATCTAGACACAATTGAAATGTACAAACCAAATAATGAGCAACACTGCGTAACTACAGACCGTGGGCGTGGGCCCACCCACGTTCTATTTTCAAAATTCAAAACACCCACCCTATACACATCATTTAATTCCAACAACCCACCACCCGCTACTACCATTTAATATTCTTGAACCACTCAAACACTACCCACTCCTCAAGTCTTTAACACATCGGACCCTCCCACTCCCAACCGCCCAACTTAAATGCTTCGATTAAATCGACCGGTCACAAATTCTCTTTCTTTATAAAAAATCACAACTTCAAATTCAATCGTTTAAAACCCCAACCTACAACAATAATCACAACTTTAAATTCAATGTATTTTATGATACCATGATATTATTTGTTTATGATACAGAGTTAGTTGTATTAAAGATTTTTAATATCAAGTGTATTAATTTTAAAAAAATAGTTTATTTTTTAGAACCGTAATTATTTTAATGGTTTTGAAATTTTTTTATAATTTTTTATTCAACCATTTTAAATCAAAGAAGTCCAAAATTGCCAAATGATGGTGTGCATTTATAAGATAAACCTTACCAAATCATTTACAATGTGTTACATAGTAGGCAGAATTTATTATGTATTATAATAATATGATGCTATCAATAGCTCTGAAAGGGCACAAAAGCTTGTATTATCATTAATTAAAAACATTATAAGAACTGCCAAGGTTAAACGAATTGCCTTAGACATGCCAGCCAATCAGGGGATGGTATGTGGTGGAGTTTTATTTGGATAGTTTATTGTGTATCCATCTTACGAACTGTCACGGTAAAGCAAATTGCCTTGGACATGCCAGCCAATCAGGGGGGTGGTATGTGGTGGAGTTTTATCTAAATAGTTTATTGTGTATCCATCTTACGAACTGCCACGGTAAAACGAATTGCCCTGGACATGCCAGCCAATCACGGGGTGGTATGTGGTGGAGTTTTATCTGGATAGTTTATTGTGTACAGGGTTGTTAACATTTTTTCCTAATATTAGTAAGAAAAATTCTCCCACCAAATTGCTTAAAATCAAAAAAGGTTCAATTTAAGCATTTCAGATTGCTGCCAAATTTTTATACATGTTTTACCTTGGGCTATTCACCCCAAGTCTGTGTTACTCATAAATCTCTTCCATAAAAAGATTGGCATTGCAGATGACTTATAACAAAGGTTTACATGTAAAATTTGTAGGGATCTTCAAGATCATTAATGTTTGGTTCTGAACACTGCCTACGACATGCCAACCCCCTCCCCCCTTTTATTTTTTTAATTTAAGCATTAAATTGTTGTAATATTATGAAGAATACACACTACATGCACCCCCCTCCTATTTTTTTAATTTAATGTTGTAAATGTTGTAATAATTAGATATGTGGTCTCTATGATTTAGGGCACCGGAGTCTACCTTGGAACAGGCTACCGGTATGTTTCCCTACGCACAACTTCAACTTATATTTCGTTCTATAACTTTACCTGAAATTAAGTGGCAATCCATGTCTGGTCTACAAATTGTTTTCAAATCACACACTTACATGGATCCACAAAACTTTTCTATAAGAACAGGAAATTGTTTTATAATCACATATTTACAAAATCACATTGAAGTATAACTCTTATGTCTGGTATAGAAGTTCGTAAGCACAACTTAAACTATCAACGTTAGAGGTATAATAATCCAATGCACATTTTCCAAACGAAAGAGATGCACAAAAATTGTTTTGATCATATTTCAATAGATCAACCCCCAAAAAAACTTTTTATTCAG